AAAACCCCCCCCCCCCCCCCCCCCCCCCTTCCTTCAGCATGTATCTTGGCTAATGCTTTTTCAAGAGAAATGAGTAGGCTTATTTGTTTATGGTGAAGGTGAACGTTGCAGGAATGGAAAATTCAGCATGAAAAAATGGAAAGGATTCGATTTTCCATAATGGAGAGACCTTAAGAAATGGAAAGATTTATTGAAGAGGAAAATAAATAAGGAAAAAAAGGAACATAAATTTTTTTAAAATTTGTGGATTCCATAAAATCCGTAGTTAAAAATTATTTTAGAGAAAAAATAATTTTAAGAAATAGGGTCAAACAGGAAATATAAAATTAAATCTCCGAGCTCTTAAGAAATGGAGAACTTTATTGCATAGAAAGATAAAAAGGAAATGCAAAATGAACAAGAATGGGTAAAAATTACGAGAAAAATGGTAAAAAGGGAGGAAATGCCGAGGAGCCATCCACATATTCCTAGTTAAAATCCTGCCCGTTATTGGGTACCCAATATGCCTTGTATTCTCGTTTACAATTTCGATCTCAAATATATTTTGGGCCAGCGAACAAATAATCCGACATCGTTAATGATCATCACTTATTCCCTACCATGTAAAAATAATAATAATAATAAGGAAGAAGAACTGAGACATTACACGGTTCTTTAAATTTGATACAGTTAACCTTGTATAGACTGTGATGTATGAAAGAGCACATTATTACAGTTTTTTGTATCATGCTGTTTTGTTTTCATATAATGGGAAATGCATCAAAGTAACCACACCATTCGAGCAACTATTAACCTTATGTCGCCATCCAGACCTCACGAAGGAGTTTGTACCTGGCATTGTCTCCGATATCGTCTTATTGATCATGGTGATTTCCATTTCCATTTGATAAAGTAGTTGGAGATGACGGCATTTTGTTGATAAGACTCCAATTCATCGAATTTGTGTACCCAAAGATGCCCTTGGGGACAACCAAGTTATTCCGCCACCCTCGCCATTTTTTTCTGCAACATTGCAAGAGGAAGGTGGAGTGTACACGACTGGAGCTGCAGTGTACGGGAAGCTGCTATCGGAGTCACCCGACAATCTCCATTCTCTAATACACTGCAAATACAGAGTGAAAGAGCAAAATTCAAATAAATTTGAGAACGGCTACGTGAATCTTTTTCTCCACTCTGTTATATCCTTAGTGTTGATAAACAGAATCAAGGAACCGAAAATGGCAAGAATTATCGAAGTGTATTTAATTGATTTTGTACATCAGGCTGAGCCGTATTTATAATACATTACATCAACAGAAAATTACCAGAAAATAACAGAAAGAAGGCTGAACTAACTACCAACAGAAATAACAACTAACTAACTTGTTTAACTAATTCTTTTTCTTCCAATTTGAGCTTTTCTTCTTTCCGTTTTAGCTCCATGCTTTCAATGTGAGATGCTACACTCCAACACTTAGCATCAAAAGGTCATGTTAGTTTCTGTCTACCTCTCCTCACTTGTTTTACAGAGATTATGTCACTATTATGAATGGGTTTCCTTAGGTCTATGCAAACCCTTTCCTTAATATATTCGTAATCCATGCCACCTCACTTGTTTCTCATTTCATAACATCTTATTTCTGTTACGTTCATTTTATAGTATCAGTACAGACAAAAGTCCAAGAGTAGCCATAAGTCCTAGGTTTCAAGACTACTGATTTATGAAAATTTAATGTTGAAAATTAATGAAAATATTAATTTGGCCCGATGTTACCTCTCTAATAACTTAAACTCTTAGATGAAATGGTTCAATACATATCAATAATTAACTATTTCCAGAGAACAAGTCATTCTTGAGGCTTCTAGTAATATCTCAAGCATTAATTATCTCAAAAAGGGGCAGTGCAGGCTGTGAAGGAAGTACCTAGCCAATTGAATGAGGAGTTGGAGATGTTGGTTGAACCAGAAGCATTACTTGGGGTGCGACCTGGCTTGAGAAGCAACATTCGAGGCTTGGATGTTTTAATACAATGGAAAGGACTACCACCACTTGATGCCACGTGGGAGCCTTACGATGTAATCAAGCAACAATTTCCTTCCTTTCACTTTGAGGACAAGGTGAAACTTATGGGGGGAGGTAATGATAGACCCCCAATCCATGCAACTTACCAAAGGCACAGGAATTAAGGAAAAGCAAACAGCATAATTCCAGCACCAATTACAAAATCCCATAATCAGTTACCTAATTTCAACAGCACCAATTATTTAATTACAGCAATAATTGGGGAGGAAAATCACATATAAATAAGGGGAATCAGCACGTTACCATCGTCCAGAAAAGTGGGAGATTCCTTGGAGAGTGTGGACCTCTCGAATGTCCATTGATCTTATTAATTTTCCTTTTTATTATTGAATAAAGAATCTGCTTATCTTATAGCAGATTCACTCTTTTCTAATCTTCGTTTATCAGTGGAAATTCTCATAGTAAAATTCTTGGAGCTATCATTGGTATCAGAGCCGTTACGATCGGGATGGTGAATTTATCAGATTGTATGGGAGAGTTGGAAGGGGTTCACCAAAAATTGCAAAGCCAGATGGAGGAGATGCAGACTGGGATCGAAAGGATTCAGGTAGAAATGCAAAAGGTGCAGAATGTTGAAAAAATATGGAATTAATTGTGGAGCAGTTCACCTCCATGAAATCGAAATGGGTAGAAGCAGAAAGAGAGAAAAAAATGTATGGGGCCAGGAGGTAAGGGTTCGGAGTATGCTCTGTCGTTCGAAAATTTGTTTGGAGTCGAGGCGAGCAGTCAGGTCAACGCTGGAGGCTCAGGTGAACACTAGAAACCCGAAATCAAAGCGAGGCGACTGGAGATGCCAATTTTCATGGGACAAAATCCAGATGACTGGATCTTCAAGGCCAAGCGGTACTTCTTGGTGAATCAATTAACAGATGCAGAGAAATTAGAGTCAGTCAGACTATGCTTCAAAGGAGATGCACTCGCTTGGTTCCAATGGGAGCAGAGGAGGAGCATAAAAAATTGGGAATCGCTCAAGATGCTGTTGCGGGCTCGATTTCGGTCTTCACTAGAGAGCTCCATGGAAGAACGCTTCGTGGCACTCCGACAAGAGAAGTCGGTGAGAGAGTATCGCGTCGCCTTTGAAGTGTTAGCAGCCCCGATCGAAGAAGTTTTAGAAGCAACATTGGAGGGGCATTTCATTAATGGGCTAGCCTCAGAAATTAAGGCCGAGATCCGTGTGTTGAAGCCCAGGGGGCTGGAGCAGATTATGGAACTAGCCCAGCGTATTGAAGGAAAAAACCAAGCAATGCAAGCCCATTTTGGAGTTTCTAGCCCAATAAGGAATAAAATGCTTGTTAATCCAATTGGGCAAAATTCTCCCCGCCGAAACATGGTCTCCAACACACCAAACACCAACCCGTGACCTGCAATATCAACCGAGACCAGAAACATAGCTCCTGTCGGCATGGCATCTTCCGGTTTTAAAAAGCTCGGTGACGCTGAATTTAAGAATAAGAGAGAAAGGGGACTTTGCTTCTGCTGTGACGAGAAATATTCTATTGGACACAAATGTAAGTCCAAAGAGTTACAAGTGCTGCTGGTTCATGATGAGGAGATAGAGAGGTTGGGTATTGAAGAAGGAGGCATGGAATCCACTGAAGGGGAACGAGATGTTACTGATGAAGTGGTCGAGTTGTCAATGAACTCGGTTGTGGGGCTCACTCCGCCTCAAACTATGAAAGTGAAAGGGGTAATCAGTGGTCAAAAGGTGGTCGTACTAATTGATTGTGGGGCTAGTCACAATTTTATTTCTGCCGAGTTAGTACAAAAGCTGGGATTACCAAGAACTGATACAACTGGATATGGGGTGATCATGGGCACTGGAATGGCAGTGCAAGGTGCCGAGGTATGCAAGGGAGTGCAATCATCCCTCCAGAACATGGAAGTAGTGGAAGAATTTCTTCCCTTAGATTTGGGAAGCTCCGATGTGATTTTAGGGATGAAGTGGCTATCATCATTGGGGCCGACCAAGATTGACTGAAAACCTCACGATGAAATTTCCAGATTGGCAGTACTACCATGACCTTGCAAGGGGATCTAAGTTTGAGTAAGATTTTAGTCACCTTGAAGGCCATGATGAAAGCATTCAAGGAAGGTGATGAGTGTGTGCTTCTTGAATTAGGTAGTATGCGGGTCGAAATTGGAAGGGGACAGAATGAGCAACCAATAGAAATTGTAGAGGTGTTGGGTGAATTTGGGGATTTTTTGAAGAGCCTAAAGGCCTGCCAAGTACCAGTCCCTTCTCGAGTCCAGTTTTATTAGATGGAAGATGGCGCTTCTCTGTAGATTATAGAGCCATAAACAAGTTGACGGTACCAGATAAGTTTCCCATTCCAATGATCGACGAATTGTTGGACGAACTACATGGAGCGACAATCTTCTCTAAACTTGATCTAAAGGCTGGCTATCATCAAATTCGGGTCAAACCGAAGGATATCCCAAAGACGGCGTTCAGAACACACGAAGGGCATTATGAGTTCTTAGTGATGCCATTCGGATTGACAAACGCACCCGCCACATTCCAGTCATTCATGAATGAAGTGTTTAAAGAGCAGTTGAGGCAGTTTGTTCTTGTATTTTTTGATGATATTTTGGTATTCAGTCAAAATTTGGAGGATCATGTGGAGCATCTAAGGAGGGTCTTGCAACTGCTAAGACAACATCAATTGTTTGCCAATAGCAAGAAATGCATCTTTGGTCAGCCAGAAGTAGAATACTTGGGGCACTGCATTTCATACCGGGGTGTGGCAGTAGACAAGTCGAAGATTCAAGCTATGGTAGACTGGCGTAGTCCTCGCTCATTGCGAGAGTTGAGGGAATTTTTGGGGCTCACGAGGTATTACCGTCATTTTGTGAAGGTTTATGGTAAACTAGCATGGCCATTAACAAAAAGGTTACGTAAGGATAATTTTTTCTGGGATAAGGAAACCGAGCAAGCATTCACAACACTGAAAATTGCCATGACGTCAGTGCCAGTCCTCGCCCTTCCAGACTTCAACCGTCCCTTTATAGTAGAAACAGATGCTTCGGGCTTTGGCGTGGGAGCTGTGCTAATGCAAGAACAACATCCAATTGCGTACTATAGATGTGCACTCAATCCAAAGGGAAGGGCGAAGTCAACTTATGAAAGGGAATTGATGACGATCGTGTTTGCAGTGCAAAAGTGGAAAAACTACTTGCTTGGTCACAAATTCTATGTGTAGACGGATCAAAAAAGTTTGAAATTCTTATTGGAGCAACGGGAAGTAAACTCAGAATATCAAAAGTGGCTACTTAAATTAATGGGTTATGAATTCGAGGTTCAATATCGGCCGGGAAGGGAAAACAAGGCTGCTGATGGCATTTGCCGTGTCAGCTCTTCCACCAAGTTAATGGCAATGTCGGTTCTTACAATAGTACAACTAGACACTCTAGTAGAAGAGGTTCGGGCGAACTCACAACTACAAACTATTATTCAAGAACTCAAGCAAGATCCTTCTAGCAGGCCAAGGGGCACGCTTATTCCTGCCCAAGGGGTCATCATTGATCCCATTGATGTTAGAAGAGGGGCACGATTGCAAGATCGGTGGACACTCCGACTTTCAAAAAACTTACAGACGTATCCCTGAGAATGTCTATTGGGAGTGGATGAAAGTTGATATTCAGCAATATGTGAACCAATGTGCAATTTGTCAACAAAACAAGTATATTGCACTATTACCAGGAGGCTTATTGCAACCTCTTTCAATTCCTAATCAGGTTTGGGAGGACATAGCAATGGGTTTCATTGAGGGACTACCGAAATCAGGCAACATGGATACAATCTTGGTAGTGGTGGATAGATT